GTTTGATTTGTTGCCATTCATTCTAGATTTTTCTGCCAAAACACATTTTCATTTTTTTAAGAAACAAATTTTTTCTGTTTGTATCGACTCATTGATATCAGCCGATATCTGTCAATGTTCTGTCAACACATCGGTGTATCCTTAAAATATCCAGCATCATATGAATTTATCAAGCTTGAATTTAACCAAAAATGCTGCTTACAATCAAATGCACCAGTAATATTATTATTGTAGAATACGTGTGTTATGTACAGCATTTTTACTAATTAATTTTGAGCATGTAATGCTACAAATGTGAGCAATAATTTAAAAGAAGCCTGTAGATGTTTATAAAGATTTTCTTTAATGAAGTTTGAATAAAATAAAAAGCTGTTTTCCAACATATAGTAATGTTAATCATTTACAGCAAATTGTATTGTAATGGTGTACATGACTATACTGCAGGACATCACTTCATTGTGTATTATGGCTAAAATCCTTTGTTTATGAGTAATCGCATTCATGTTTGCCTGTGTGAGCAATAATTATTTCCACTCCGCATTAAACAAAGAATATCTTCTTCTTCATGTGGAGACCCACGGCGACCACAGCAATAAAAAATCTTTTTACAAAGCTTTGTGTTTTTTACACTCCATCATTTTGAGCATTCACACAAAGCAACAATGAGCAAAACAAGCTAGGAGTATGTGAACGTATTACATTTGGCAGGCCTCCAAAAGTGGCAAAAACAACAGAGCCTTTTTAAGCAAAAGAACAATAAGACATGAATCATCTATTGTGGCCCGCTCTGCAGGGTTGGAACTGAATCCACATGAAGAATTGGTTCATTTCCAAACGTATGGAGTGTGGAAGTAGACGGGGCACTGAGGCACTCCTGATGGATAAATCCTGTCAAGTTCAATTCAACAGTCACAGTAAAGCTTTTTTGTGCATATTTTTGTTTGTTATTATGTTGTCTAAGTAGCAAAGATGAAGATTAGATTATAAAATAGAAATATTAAAAAATTTAAAAATAAAAATAAAATACAACCTAATATAAAAATGGAAATACACACGTAGTTTATTATATTTTCAGCATGTAATTATCAAAAGAGAAGTATACAACTGATTCTTCTTTTTCTGTGCAGAGTGGAAAGCACAGATTAAGGCCTCTTTATTTTTCGCATTTCTGGGTATCTACCGCCACCTGGTGGCTACAAGCCGACACGCATGATTAAAGTGTGTGTAATATGGGAAAATTCTACAGTTTTGATATTAAATGCTACATTAAATATAGTATTTCTAGATAAACAAACAAAAAATACTTCATTTATTTATATTAGGCGTCAGTGAGGTCAATTACAGTGTGAGCCAAACCAGCTCTATAAATATTGGTCTCCCTCTAGGAAACAGTGAAAATCAGAATCAGAATCAGAATCAGAATACTTTATTGATCCCTGGGGGAAATTATTTTTTGTTACAGTGCTCCATTTTAAACCAACATTAAGACAAGACAGACAATACACTAACTAAGAATAGTACAATATATACATATATACACATACATAAGTCACTCATAAATAAATAGTTGGAAAAGAAACATGTGTAGTTGTAGCAGCAAACAGTGTGTTAAGTGGATGCGTTGTACAGGGAGATGGCCACAGGCAGGAAAGATTTCCTGTGTCGTTCAGTGGTGCTTTTCGGTAATCTCAGTCTCTCACTGAACGTGCTCCTGTGACTGACCAGCATGTCATGGAGTGGGTGGGAGGTGTTATCCAACATTGTCTTTATCTTGGACAGCATCCGCCTCTCCGACACCACCTTGAGGGAGTCCAGCTCCATCCCCACAACATTACTGGCCTTACGGATTAGTTTATTGAGTCTGTTGGCATCTGCGACCCTCAGCCTGCTCCCCCAGCATGCAACAGCATAGAGGATCGCACTGGCCACAACAGACTCATAGAAAATCCTCAGCATTTTCTGGCAGATGTTGAAGGACCTCAGTCGCCTCAAAAAATAGAGACGACTCTGGCCCTTCCTGTAAAGTGCTGTGGTGTTTTTAGCCCAGTCCAGTTTATTGTCAATGTGTACTCCAAGGTATTTATAGTCCTCCACAATGTCAACACTGACCCCCTGGATTGAAACAGGGGTCAAGTGTTTCCTGGTCTTCCTGAAGTCCACGATCAGTTCCTTGGTCTTTGCCACGTTGAGCTGCAGATGATTCTGCTCACACCACGTGACAAAGGGGTTGACCACAGCCCGGTACTCTGTCTCATCATCCCTGCTGATGCATCCAACCACCGCAGAGTCATCAGAAAACTTCTGAAAATGCTTGCTTTTGAAAATGTAAAACGAATTTTACATTTTAACTGTCCAAAAACTACCAAACTTTCTGCTTAATTTTTACTTTTCTTTTTCCGCTGCAAACCAAAATACTAAACTTGCTTAATTACTTTCTTAATTTTTAAGAATGAATTCGTTTCATGTGTTATTGTGCCATGTGTTATTTTGTATTCATGGTTTCGTAAGTAGGGGCTACCAAAATGTTAAAATGAAAGATTGCAATACATTAAATCTTCTTTACAATAGTATGTGGCAAAAGTTCATTTCTATTCAGTTTTATTTATAGAGTGCCAAATCACAACAACAGTTGCCTCAAGACACTTTAAAAACGGGGGGAAACAAATCTCAGATTTCTAATCAATTATGGCAGTACGTTACCTAAATATCTTGTGTGTGCATAAAGATTAAATATGAGCATGTTACATGTATATTTTACAGATGTGTGTCTGGATTTGGGATTTTTCAGGGTCCAGTCTTTCGCGTTTACTAAGATATTGCAAACACATCAAACACCCATGCATTGTATCTACAATATCTGAAAACCAGCTACATAAAAGATGAGGTTAATTTGCAAAGAGATCAGAGACGAGATCTTTAGCAGAATAAATATCGCTCTATTACACATATATTCGACAGATGGGTATCCAGTCATGTCCAAAAGATCTCACCAATTTGTAAAAATCTCAAAAACAAATCAAAGCTCCAGATCACATTGTTCAGGATATTGTCCAGATCTGTGACAAATGCAAATCTATCCCTACCTTGGACAGTATTGTATTGTAGTGCTTTAATTCCATATCATGTTCTGTTGCATTGATTATGACTTGAAATCAGAAACCATAAACTCAGCACGACAAGGATTTGCTGAGGCCACAGGGCAAGAACGACACTGGAAATTTTTATAGCCACCCGAGTCACTATTAAAAGAATGCAGGCTTAATACAGTTTGACTTCTCCTTTTAAAGCTTAATGCCATATCCATCTTTTATATACAGTCTATTCACCACAAACTGGGCCGCCTACCCCAAAAAATACAAACAGACGTACAGGCCAGGAGAAAAATGTACTGTCCCCTTACGGAATCTTCAAATTGATCAAAAAAGACTGATATTATGACAAAAAGCTCTAAGGAATGTAGATTCATGTTCACGTACATCTAGGAGTGTATGTGTGCGCATGTGTCCACCGTTTATTAACGGTTGAAGACACAGATTAATTTCTTTGCATGCAACAGAGGATAAATCAATTGCACATAATTAGCAGGGGCAAGGTTATAACTGACACTAGGTTTCATCTTAATTACAGAAGTGGTTGCATGAACACGTCTCAACTTAATCACACCTGCCACTGTTCTCACCACAGCTTGATAATTTATTCTTATGGGAGCTTTTACTAATAATCATGTTTTAGTTTGTATAAAATTCATGTGGAGTTACATATGTTAGTAGGAAAGTGCAATGTTGGCCACTGATCTGATGAGTCACCAAAATTTATAACAAAGAAAATTCATATTTGTGGGGCTGTTCATTTGTAATGCTAAATATGATACGGAGTACCCTAAAAGCAAAACACACACACACACAGATATACAAAAAAGCCAGCAAAAACATCTAAGGCAATCCACTCTCTTGACTTCCTCCATGTATTGATGATGGTTTGAACCAAAAACTTCAAATTTGGATTCATTAGTCCAAAAAGTTTCCACTGATTTTCAGTGTAGTTCAGTCAGTCTGGCTTCTTGGCAGTCACTCTTCCACTGAGACTATTTCTCATTAGAAACTGCACGCCATGCTGCCAGGTTTTTGGCTAATAGCTCTATGGGAATTACTCAAAGTAGAAAAATACTATTTTATGTCTGGGAAATGGGAACAATGTGACCCACAAAGTGCCGTAAAATTGGTTCTTTGCCAGTGTGTTGGTATGTAGACACCACACTCGTTAATCCCTTGAGTTAGGCACCTTTTCTATACCTGATGATAGATCAGTGTTAGGCAGCTTAACAAACAAAAAAAAGGTGTCCAAAGAAAACCTTAGACACTGGCTTTGACCTTCAGAGAACCTGGAGAACTGTTCCTCAAGACCACTTAAAAAAAATACTAGTAAGTCTGAGTCTTTGGAAGCAATATAATAAGTAGTGGCTCAGGTTTTTTGCACAGTATTGTATATGAAATTGATTAAATCAATAAATGAAATGTATTATTCAAATTTTTCAGTAATATTAGCACAAAAACTTTCTGGCAATTCCAACATAAGCCTGTCTTGCTGTTTTCTGCTTAGGTTTCTAAATGTTTTTATTTTAGTTTATTTGCTGTTGCTTTCCATATTAGTTTCAGCCATTTTATATAATGTTAGGGTGTTCTTGAGATATCATTGTTGTTGTTGTTGTTGTTGTTGTTGTTCATCAATCCATCTTCTTCAACCTTCAACCTCTCTCTCCCCGGCCACCTCCTCCAGCTCGCCAGGGGGAACGCCCCTTCCCAGGCCAACCACGAGATATATGTATTAGATATGAGAGATATGTATTATTATTATTATTATTATTATTATTATTATTATTATTATTATTATTATTATTATTATTATTATTATTATTATTATTATTATCGCCAGCAGGCTTATGAGATTTTATTTTGAAAGTTACAGCCGGAAGTTTAGATTTTCCTAAGACTAGTTCTGTCGCGAGCCTCCCGTACTGTAAGCCAATCACAGAGCAGAATAAGCTTTGCCGTATATACGCGCGACTATTTCCACGTTTTGATCGCAAACAGCGGAGGGCTTCGGAGTCGTTTTCTGAACCTGCTTCTCCAGGTCGCATTAAAGTAAGGAGAACATGAGTTTAGCTTGTTTTCTATGCTCCCTGCACAGGAGCTTCAGTTGGCTACATTTCATGTCATCTGTAAAAGCTCGCATTACATTACGTTATTTTTACTGCACGTTTCACTTTTTAAGTTAACTGAATAAGATGGTCTGAATCTCAACATATGTAACCAGTATCTAGGTAAAGGTAGTTATCCTCGGTGGTTAGGATCCTGCTTGAGGGGACACTATCTTGATTTAAAGAAACACATCCGTTAAACAAAGTATATAACTTATACCCCAGATAAGACCGAAATAATTGGGCAGCTTTGGGAATTGATACGAAATTTCCCTTTATGCACTTTTATTGTGTCCAGTGATACTAACAAAAGAAAAAAATGTCTTTAAACTTGTTTTTCTCGTTTTTTTGAAAAGCACTGATTCAGTTGTGCCGTTACTAGTTGTTTTACCACGAATAAATAAATACGTTTATTTAACTAGTTTAACACACAAAGTATTTACTGCAAGGCTGCTAGACTCCATTGCTCTGAAAGGGTTTGTCCACATTAACCTGTGCTCCCCCATAAGCTTAATGGTGGTCTGGAATATAGATAAAGAGGTCTATATTTAGACCAAGTCAGCAGGAGGCTGTTAAGAAGCTAATCTGAGATGGGTGTTGGGGGTCGGGCAAGGCTTTCACATGTTAGGTTTATTTTGACAGTTTCAAGTTGATATATGCACAAAATGCCCCTTATAAACTCATCTTTCTTAAAGTAGAGCAGGTAGAAAAGCATAACATGCCACAAAATGTCTACATTTAGAAATTAGACAGCAGTAATTTGCCACTTTCCAGTGGTTGCAGTCAGTTCAAGTCAGACTGCAACTGTCCTCAATTCAGTTCAGTTTTAATTATAAAGTGCAAAATCAAAACAGCACTCACTTCAAGGTGCTTTATATTGTAAGGTAAAGACCCTACAATAATAGAGAAAACACCAACAATCATATAAACCTGTATAAGCAAGTACTCAGCGACAGTGGGAAAGAAAAACTGTCTTTAAACAGGAAGAAAAGAAACCTCCAGGATGGCGGTGTAGCCATTTGCTGCAAGCGTTTGGGGGTGATCGGAGGGAGACTTGGCAAAATACTCGCTGTGGAAGAGAGCCGATGTTAAATAAAAACTAATGATTGAATGCAGAGTGTTGTTATAAACATGCAGAGAGTGAAAAGAGGTGAGTGAAGAGGAAACAATCAGCGCATCATGGGAAACCCTCCTATTGCAGTCTAAATAAGGAAGGATTTGGGTCACCCCAACTATATACATTATAAAAAGGAGTTTTAGGTCTAATCTTATAAGTAGAGAGGATGTCTTTCTCCCAAATCCAAACTGGGAGCCAGTTCCACAGAAGAGGGCCCTGGAAGCTAAAGGCACTGTCTCCCATTTTACTTTTAGAAACTTTAGGAACCACAAGTAATCCAGCAGCCTGAGAGTGAAGTTCTCTATTGGGGTGATATGGTTCTATGAGGTCTTCAGGATAAAATAGGACCTTATTAGTCAAGACGCTGAATGTGAGGAGAAGGATTTTCAATTTCCCTGTCAGTACTCTTGCATTTTGGATCAGCTGAAGGCTTTTCAAGGAGTTTTTAGGACGTCCTGATAATATTGAATTACAGTTGTCCAGCCTAGATGCAGAAGAAGCAGTAAGGTATGAATGATGGTCTACTTTTTCAGCATCATTCTGATACTAGAGGTCATTCAGGTATTTATGTCTCTGAGACCTGTAGTTTAACTATTTGCAGGAAAGTCGCCTCTTGTCAGCTAACCTGTGCAAGCTTGCCATCAAAAATGGTCAAATGGGAAACACCCTCAAATTCTGGCCAACCATTTAGTGACTACAAGTTCAAAACAGATGTGAAATTACAATTACGAGGCATCACCAATTTTTAGATTTTTTTTTTTTATTTAAGGAGCCTGCTGTCCTATTTTTACTCATGTGACTGAGCCATTAGATGGCTCTGAGGAAGTAGCTTTGTCGAGCTAAGTGTTGGATGGTTTTTCAGATGAGCTGATTTAAGGTCAGTTTAACTAAGCCAACATTATCACAGGATGATGGTGTTAAGCCTGATAATATGTGTGTCCACAGTAATAATAATGTAACCCCACTTGGATATACTAAGGCTGTGGATGCACTCAGTGTTTTATGTTAATATGTGCTTTTGTTAATAGGAGGTGTTATGATGCCGGTGGTTCAGTTGCTGAGAGCTGCATTGAAGCATGCTGGGAACAGGCCCCCACGCTGTGTTGTGCAGACGACTTCTGCAGCACATAGCATCAGAACACATGCTTCATCCTGCACTGATGGTGACAAACCCAAAGTCCTCATTACTGGTTAGTTTTTGTCTCATACCTCTTGTGTTACTTAAGCTCTGTAATGGGAAAATTCTAGTTAACCCTCACATTTAGATATAGGTGGTTAGAACTTCACTGTATGATTTTTGTGTAACCTTTGCATGCTTAGATGAAGTATGTGTATGTGTCAGTATGACCTCGTGAAATAAAAAAACTGCTTAGCTAGGCCTTACAATGTTTCACTATGTTATCTGCTAAGTGTTTGGCTCAGAAGGATGAAGGTCAGGGCCAGCGCCAGGTGCTGGCCTGGGAAAAGATAGTAGGAGTCTTCTCTGTTCAGCAACAGCCCAGGGTGGACAAAAGACTGTTGTAACTGAAAGATACACAGAGTTTGACGATGTCATAAGCTCATTACTATGAACCTGTGATGTTTTGATGTATGTTTCCATTCTCCTGCGCGTAGTAATAAATAGTGTGACCACAGCTCTTTCTGTGTTGCAGACTTTATTAACAAAAATTCCACGACAGTTCTTAAAAGTGCTTAAACTGCTTGGTAATTTGCTTCTTTTTCTCTAATTTATCCTTGTAGGAGGACTTGGACAGCTGGGGGTGGGGCTTGCTAAGTCATTAAGGTAAGAAGCTTAAATAACCTCTGATTTCCGTTGTTTAGCTATTTCCATATGTAGAATAGTTTTCTTTGCGTATACGTGATACTGATACTGGGTTTTCAGACTGATACCAGTAAAAAAATCTGTCAATATAAACATACCAGTCACTGTATTAGTTGTGGCCACACCATTTTGTACATTCCTGCTCCAATCTGATCCCAGAAACTAAACAGGGTTGTGCTTGGTCAGTATTTGTCTGGGAGACCGCCTGGGTATACCAGGTGGTTGAAGCTTGGTCGTGGCAGATGGTTTCCCCTCCCTGAGCCTGGTTCTGCTGGAGGATTCTTCCTGTTAAAAGTTAAAAGTTTTTCCTTCCTACTTTTGCCAAGTGCTTGCTTGTAAGGGGTCACCTAACTTCTGTAGCTATACTGTAGATTTTTTTGATGTGTAAAACAAACGGCGATGGATGCATCAGGTTGTATGACGAAGGACTCCCGCTAGCTTTTTCCCAGTAAAGGTTATAATGGTGATTTACGGGAACAGAGCTGCTGTTTTGGACGCTAAAAAACCTTTTTCTTTCGCTCCACCTGAGCACACCGTCTCAGTAATGACTCCGCGTTTAGACAGACCCCAGCTCAACATTAAACTATGACATTAAACCATCATCTTTACTGCTGCTGTTGTGTTATCAGTCTTTTTGTTGAAACACTGGAGGCTGTGTGAGCTTAATGTTGTCATACTTTTAATTCACACGCGCTCTCCTATTGCAGGTCTATTTTTGATCACAAATGTGGGTGAGCACCACAGGGTCACGCATTAGACAAAGCATCAAAGCAAGGAAATAGTTTTTTTTATAGTCGAGTTATTCAAATTACTCAATGAATCGTTGCAGACCTCTTTTAAACTGCTGTGGTGAACTGTGGTGATACCAGTCCTAAATCCAGCAATTTTATTTACAAGAAAAATTAGAAAAACTTCCAAAAGGTGATACCTGTGAGCCAAACCTATATGGGGTGTAATGTGTGAGCTGTTGAAACAACTGTTAAAATGATATATAATGAAAGAAAGCTTAAAGACGTCATGCGATCATGTCATTTGTACCGCAGACCAGCTTTTTTAGTAGAGTTACCAAAACTAATGTTTCTTTTTCAGGAGGAGATTTGGAAAATTCAATGTGATCCTGTCTGACATCCGGAAACCCCCCAACCATGTCTACAAAAACGGTGTGTGCATTGTTTTTACCTTCTCCACATATTCTACAAGTTAGTAAAAACCCTACAAAGGCCATGCGGTCTTTCTGTTTAGGAGCTCCATTCTTGCTCAGTGCAAATGCAAACCACATGTCCATAAAACTGCACTCCACTTTCCAAAGATGAGTGGGTCGACACACACAGTCTATTGTGTGTCCTGCACAGGTCCATTCATCTTCTCTGACATTCTGGACTATAAGAACCTCAGGCAGATTGTGGTCAACAATAACATCAGCTGGCTGGTTCACTACTCAGCTGTGCTGTCCGCTGTGGGGGAGCACAACGTGGCCCTGGCTAAAGAGGTCAACATCACAGGTAGACACCTCTGTAACGCGTGTACCATAGCATTAACATAGCAGACTTATGCACAGCCTCTCTTTCTCTCTAGGTTTCCATAACATATTAGATATAGCCACCGAACATGGTCTGCGTGTGTTTGTCCCCAGCACAATCAGTGCCTTGGGTCCATCCTCCCCTAAAGACCCCACTCCTGATCTGTGTGTGCAGAGGCCACGCACTATTTACGGTGTATCCAAGGTCCATGCGGAGCTGATGGGTGAGGTGAGACACTCTGTAGAGACTTTGAAAACGCATACCCGTATTTCTTCTCCGCACTTACAGCTGTTGTAGCTCCAGTCCTCATTCTGACCTCTATTCATCTTATTTCTGGTGTTTTTGAGTCTTTTCCTCCCATTATCAGTACTACCACCAAAGGTATGGGCTGGATTTCCGCTGTCTCAGGTATCCAGGCATCATCTCGGCTGACTCCCAGCCTGGAGGAGGAACCACAGGTGAGTAGACCTGAGATACATATACCCAAAGACCTTTCAGGAATAAGTGTTGGCCCTCAACAATCACATTTGCAATATGGTTAAAGTTGTGGTTCACTTCCTTTTTAAATGAACGGGTATAGAGGCTCAACAATAATTTTGATGGTGATAATATCACCATCATCACCTCCACCACTTATCTTGTATAATGTCTCTGGAAATACTAAAGGTGCAGGCTAACTGACAATGTAAGGAAGATGGAGCACCGTTTGGAAATGTTTGTTTTTTTTTGCTCCATGTCTTTGATGCAGTCTGATTCTGATGGTCTCTTTTCACTGTTTTCTAGACTACGCTGTCCAGATCTTTCATGCTGCTGTGAAGAGCGGTCAGTTTGAGTGCAACCTGCGCAGCGACACACGGCTGCCTATGATGTACATCGGTAAAGCAAACTTTGATGCGTTTTGTTTTGGCGGCACTGAAGCACTCCCGTTTCGCTCATCTCTTCCTCCGTCCACCTCTCCTACCCAGATGACTGTATCAGGGCCACTATGGAATTCCTGGAGGCTCCAGAAGACGCGCTCGTCAGCCGCACCTACAACATCAACGCCATGAGCTTCACGCCACAGGACCTCACCCGAGAGATCCAGAAAGTCCTGTCTGACTTCAAGGTTACCTATAATGTGGATCCTGTCAGGCAGGCGATCGGTGAGACTGCTGGGATACCAGTGTCATAGTTTTATCCTTTCAGAGTGTTCACTGGCTACTATAATCTTCTTCTCTGCTACATCTTTTCAGCCGACGGCTGGCCAAAAGCACTGGAGGACAGCGCAGCGAGACAGGACTGGGGCTGGAGGCACGAGTACAATCTGCCGGAGCTGGTGCAGACCATGCTGACTCACATTACTCTGGGAAACAAGCTAGCGAGCGCCTTCTGAAACATTTGCAGCATTTTTGTAGCTTTATTTAAAAACTGAATGTGACAGTCTTCAGTAGCAAAATCTTAAAACATTTTCTTTTCTTTTTTAATCATCTAGAGCCTGCTGTTCGTATGTGGGTTGATGTTTTAGTTGGGAGAAATCCCTGGCACTTTAGAATCCTCCCACATCTTTTAGCCCTTGATAAGTTACCAATAGCCACAAATTCAACCCTCGACAGGATGGGTGCCCTGATCATTGCTTCAGTTAGAAGGGAGCGCATTGTTAGCACCAGTAATAAGTAATATTATGTGGGATTTCCTGCAATTGGCTGTAAAGAATTATGAATGAAATCAACAAGTGATCTGATATTTCCTCACAGGAGGATTCACAGGTACACGTTTTACTAGCGTTTCATCCATTTTGAATGTCATGTTATCTCAAAAGAGAAGTTCAACATGTCATGGGTACTTGTGACTCTTCCCTGCAGAAACTCTTGTGAGGATGATTTCTTTTTTCAAATTCCCCTCCCAGATGACCTTGGATCTTTCTAGCAGTGTACAGAGAACAGGCCACAGACCCAACAAAGACTTTGAAGATGATAGGCAGAAAGTCTAAAAAGGAGACTGAAATTGAGATTTACACAATATGTTTGTTAAGAAGCAAAACAAAAGGCTTTCCTTCTGAACCATCAACCTGATGTCTTTCTTTTCCTCTCTGTGAATCCGTCCAGAATTTGTGATTAGTTTGCTGCTAGAGAGCGCTGGATGTTTTCACCAAAGCAAGATGCTGAACTTTTAAGAGTTCTGGTCTCTTTCTGAGTGTACACAGTATGTATGTGCTGTCTCTAAGTGTGCTACCAGTCTGTTGCGGTGTGTCTTAAGGGGCACGTCTGCCACACTTGAAAACAACCTGGCTTTTAGTAAGAGCTTCACTCCCACTGTTTGCTGGTGTGAACTGTGTCCTGAAACAGTGGTGCAGATAACTGTGGAAATAGTGACCCCACACAGTACTGCTGCAGGGACTGCACAAGATGGGTAAACAGAAAAGGAAACCTAGCAGTGCTTGAGGCCTTAAATTATGTGCAGCAAAGGAAATTAGCTTATAGATGCTGCTTGATCTTTGCACTGGTGTTTTTTGGGCATTTTATTTATTTATTTATATGTTTTGGGGTTGACTGAATGGATTAACATGTCAGCATTAGATAAGCAGGGCTCTTCTGTGTGGAGGTATAAAAAGAAAGGACTGGATGTTCTGTTAATGTTTGTTTTTTATAAAGCTATTATTTCAGAATTATTGCTGTTTTTTAATAAATCCTTTAAAAAAAAAACAACAACAAGTTTTTCTGAATTTTCTTTGTAACTACGCAGTACTGAAAACTGACCCAATGCTGATGAGCCATTACAGCTACAGAGGGTGAATTTTAGCTTTCTTGAAAGCTTTGTTCTAGGCCTCACCTCCACTAATGCCATTCACTGAAGGTAAGCTAAGTTCAGCAGATTTTAAATTATTAAAAAAATCACATTCAGAAAAAATGAGCATCACAACATAAAAGGAAAAATAACCAAATGTAACTCTTAAAACAACAACTAGAAATTGAGAGTAAAAGTTACCAAGTTAAAAGTTTTTTTAGGTGTTAGCATTAGGTGTCTGTGTTGCTAACTAAGCTTGCTAATGCTAGCTGACATCTTAGCATTCCACCCAGTTATGGTCATGTCTGTCTGGAGAAAAGCAACCTTGCAGCAGCCAAAAAGCTATCCCTGGCTTCAAAATGTGGAGTCTAGAAACCAACCAGTGGTGTCACATTGGCTATGTCCATTTTTTATATACAGTTCATGGTAACCATGTTGCTGTGGCTGTGAAACTTGCTTTTTACCCTTTAAAGCCTAAATCATGAGATAATTAGTAGAAAATTGTAATTTCTTTGAAATTTTATAACCAGAAGGTCTTTATTGAACCTTCTGGTCATTTCTACAATGAAATATTAATTTGCATATCCATCCATTCTCTTCTGCTTAGAGACAGACAATTATTCACACTAACATTTCCACCTATTGGCAAATTAAAATCACCAAATAACCTCACTAATTGCACATCTCTAGACTGTGGGAGGAAGCCACAGTACATGGGAAGAACAAAAAAACTCCACATATATATGGGCTCATATATTTGCACATATGAGTTTTAATTTGTTTAATGTGTATTCATTACATCCAGGTTTCTTTTTTGCAATTTGTTGCTAAAAAATGTGCAATTTATTCAGTTTTTTCGAGGAGAGTGGGATTACACCGACCATGTAGAAGTTTAAAAACTCACAAAAATTCATGTATCAAATATGACATAACAAGTGTTAAGGGATACATTTCAAATACAGAAATCTTCAAATTATAAATATAAGATGTGCAATAAAATAATAATAATAATAATAATACAAGCTTGAGCATCCAAAAGTAACACAGTTAGCCGAAACTGTGACTGTTACTAATTGGTTCAACATTCTTACTTCTGAACAGGTTTATTCATTGACTTCCTGCCCTCTGCTTTTCCAGACGCTGTCCCTCCTGTTTTAGTTTTGGCAGTTTGTACCTTTGCACTTGTCTCTGTATTGGTAGGAGAAGTATTGTTGTGCCTCCCAGTGGCCAGAGCCTCCTGCTGCAGTTTCAGCTGCAGGATCTCACTGAGCAGATCGACCTCTTGGACTAGGCTTGCCACTATCTGGCTCTCGGTAGCCCTCACTGCTGCACGAACCAACTCCACAATGCCCTACTTGGGGAGCCAAAAACAGTGACAGTCAGTCAGTCCAAATAATTTCACTAAGGGAAGTACCTCAGATGGCGTAACCATAATAATGTTTTGGAGAGTATTAAAAAAAGGGCTGGTTTAGAAAAAAATATTTTTTGTCTAGGAGAAAAACATTTAAAACACAAAAACCACATATTCTCGTAGCACACTGCATGATTAGATATTAGGGTTAGGGAACATGAACCTGTTTATCCAGATGCTTATCCTCTGGAAGAGTTATGTCCTCCACAGTGACCCGTGACCCCTGTCTCAAACACCTCAGCTCATTTTCCTTCTGCTCCAAGGTTGAAGTGAGACTTGCTTCATGCTGCTGACTTTCCCACTCTTGCAGATCGACGCCCTGCAGTAAAAGGGAGTCATTTTCTAAGTTTGAAACAAATTGGGACATATTAAATGGATTCCAGTACCATCAGATAGCAGCCCTGAATCTGCATGATGATTATGCAGTGCACGTTCACTAGCCGCCACTTAAAGAGGCCTCCTTACCTGTGCTAAGGGAGGGGGTGTGGGTGGCAGTTGCACCTCCAAGTGTAGCTGAGTGACAGACACGTTAGCAGCTCCATCAACCACCGCCTGGAAAAGCTTCCGCCGTGTGATGCAGGCGTCCGTGAGATACCTGGTGAAGTCATGTCGATGGACGGGGGTGAGGTTCGGTAATCCCTCACACAGCACCTCTCTCAGTAGTGACAGCAAGTTGAGTACATCAGGATCTGATGGATAGAAAACAGTCCAGAAGTTTTAAACGAGGTTTACTGAACCAAACCCCAGCAGCACATGATCCTGCACACTGTGAACAGGTGGGCCTGCATTACTAACACTGCATGAGTAATGTTTTAATAGGGCACACAGGGAATGACTCAGAGTCAATGAATCACTCAGTGTGGTATGCTAGGGTGTCTGTATTGCTTTATGAGCAGTGAGAGCTTTACATCTGATAGTAATTCTCTGCTGGCCATGTAAAGGGCCACGACCTCTCGGTTAAGCAGTGTGTCCTCTAACAGGCCACTAGTACACTGCTGTTTGACTCTGACCGTCCAGCCGTGGAAAGATGTCTCTGGCGATCACAGCTGCCCGGATAACGTTCGGCCAGGAGAAGCCACAGTCTGCAGCGAACACGACCACGTCGTACACAAACTCTTGATGGAAGCATCGTCGCTCGTCACTGAACTCGGGCCACGAGAAGTAACGGCTGAGCCTCTGCACACCAGCATCTCTCTGACAAACACAATCACACAGACACAAAAGTGAGAAATGTTGAGCAACACGTAGAACCATTTTTACAAGTTGTTTTAGTTATTTATTCATAAACGGTGTGGTTATGTCTTTATTTTTGCAGTTCTGCTCCAAATTTAAATAAACCAATGACCAATAATAAAATAATGTGCGTGCATGACTTCAAGCTAACTCTCTAACCAGTCGCTTACTTTAAGATTTAGGTCAAATTATAGATTTTAGCGCCATTTTTTAAAAAAAAATGCTGGGACACAACTTCGTCTTTATATCGCTTAAATTAAATGTCTGGGTGTTAATTCAGTGGCCGCCTACCTGTAGCCTCGCTATCTGACCTATTTCACTCTCTGTTAGGGAATCCATCCTGATAAACACAAAGCGGAGCTCGGTTGCCATTGGAGACTGACGCGATGACGTAGGGACGTAAAGCTGCTGATTGAACGTGTGAAGCGAATTCAGTGTTACCTGTAAATATCACACGTAATTACTCAGTGCTTGTTTGTTCGTAGGTTTAATAGCGACTGTCTGATATTAAACCACACAGTCTTCATTTATGGGGCTGTTTCAGGGCTAAGAAAAGAGCAGGCTGGTAATGTAACTGGGCTTATTATCAGTCTGTGGCCACAGATGGCGGAAAGCTCTAATCCTCTTTAGCACCAACCCCAGCCCTCTCCCTTCTTTTCTCCGTCTCTCTTCTTCTGCCTTTCCTCTCCTCCTCCTCCTCCTGTTCTCCATCAAATAATGTCAAGGTAACGGCTGTTAAAATAGTCGGTAGTGTCCAATTTCCGGTTGTGTCTTTAAAAATAAAAGCTTTATTTCAGGTGCGATTTTTACCATCAAACCTTTAGGGTTTGGTGCAAATGTAGTTACCCCTTTTCACATTTGCAGAGCTCAGTTCAGTTGCGTACACACTACAATTTTTCCTTTAATTCAATTCAGTTTTATCAGTCACCTCAAAGTGCTTTATATTGTAATGCAAAGACCTACATACAAAATAAGCGTCCTAATTAGGATTAAGAACCATTCATAATCAGTATTCACAGATTTCAATATAATACAATAGTTTTAGGGTGGACCCTTCAGTTATTAAACCCAAGGCAACATTGTGTAGACTCATCACTGTGCATTACATATGCCAATTACAAGAGTGGAGAATAGGTCTGTAGTCTGTCACGTGCCTGTGTGCAAGCAAGAGCTACGCCTGCTCGTCTACTAAGCTAAACTGTCACCCTAGCAGCTCCACTTTTAACAAACAAATACATTCTGCTGTTAAAGCCAGTTTCTTCCAGCTGAGGGCCCTTGCAAAGATTAAGACAATTCTCTCATCTGCTGATTTTGAGAAAGTAATGCCAGTGCCTTCCAGAATTTTAGGATCCTTTTGTTTATTATTAAGGCAAAAAATAGATCAGCACTTTCTTACATTTTTGAACTTTTAACTCTATGCACACTCCTAGATCATTAAGGTTAACTGACTAGATGCTTCTAGTTGTTCTGGTTGTTTAAATCAGGCCTTTTTCTTTAGTTGCACCTAAAATTTGGAACAGTCTTCCTCTTCAAAGTAGGACCTCCCCAGTACTCAACATCTTTGAAGCTCACTCGAAGACAGATCGTACCTCCCTTGTGTTTTTCTTTTATTTAGTTTAGTTTATGTTTTTTTCCTGTATTGTCCTTACTTTACTTTACTTTATTTATTTATATAGCACTCTTCACAGGATAAGAACCACAAAGTGCTTCACAATAATATAAAACTGATATACATAAAATAGCACAATCAAATATTCAACACAAATTTAGTTAAAAGCCAATCTAAATGAGTCTTGTTACTTTATTGCTTTCACAATAAATAAACTGATTGGACTTGATTTTCCGAGCTGTGCAGTTTGTGTGTTTACGTTCAATCCTGCCGTTTTTACTGAAAGGCTTTCAAGTCATTACTTTGAAAGTCTTAATCGCTGTACTTCCGGGTTTTCATGCCGCGGACTTGCAGCGTGCGTGAACGCGCGCGCCAGCAACCTGTGCTCACTTCTCAAATCTCAGATAGCGAGCTCGCGGCGCTGTCTGCCGCTGACCACACCTGACTTTATTATCACTCTGTTATCAAACTGCTTCTTTATCGGGATCTACACTCGGACACTGATCCTCACTGGTTCCTTCCAGCATGTTTCCTCACAGGTAAGATGAACCTCTCTTTCTCACCTGTTGCTTTACAAACACCTGCTTCTCTGAACTTAGACAAAGCTGAACATCTGTGGTAAGGTTCTGTGTTTGGGTGTTTTCAATTTAATTTAAT